CAGAAAGGGACACGGAGCTTAAGGTGTGAGATGACACAGGAGCTCCTACAGATCCCCCTCCTTTCCCCAAAAGACTAGAAATATCCAACTACTGCATCCTTCATAACAAACTTTAGTGTGTAAAACACCCCACCCACGTCCAAAACTGTCCTCGGCCAGTACCAATATCCTGCTTGTGTCCTATCAGTCTTGTGTGAGTGACCAGTGCTATCAAGTGAGGATAAAAAGCTGGCCACTAAAGAAGTCATCAGCAGTGCTGAAACAGCAGAGGGGTATGAGGACATAATTCTGTCCATTAACAAGCATTAATCTGCCTACAAACACCTACATGAAAACACATTATTGACATCTCAGAGAGATGAAATACATCTATCAAGCATAATCATATGGTTGCAGGTATAAATCTCTCCCTGGAGCTCATCTATGCAGTCCCATGACTGGAAGACAGCTTATGAGAACAGGATGATTAGGGCTTCCTTCCCAAATGACCATATACGTTACCTCTTGAGGAACTCGCCCCTCTTCCAGCACTTTTAAAGACAATGTGGGGTCTGGAGAAGCCAAGGTCCTTCAGCAGGGCAATATCCTCTCTTCTGACAGGTCTGATATGAATCTTTTCCTCATCTGCAATGATGACCCCTTGCTAAAGGAGATGAAATTCCATCTCTGAGTTATTCCAAAGACATCTGCTATCAGCGGAGAACCGTGTGCCACATCCTGCCTGTTTCTCCTTTTTAACATTCGGATTTAGCAAATGGGTGGTTCACACGTGAGGATTTAAATACAGTTAAGACATTTATTGGTTAGGGCATCAAGCTGCTAACACACAAGGGCTGTAAAAGCTGATCACTCCAGTGCATACTCACCAGCTGCCCTTCACAGTAAGTGACTCTACACTCAGCTCCTGGAGGGGACAGTGAGTTTCCACCTGCAAAGCAGTTGCCGGAGCGTCGCTTCAGCAGGCTGAAGGAGGAGTTCACTATGTGCTTGCTCACGAAGGAGGCGGACAGGAGGGCACGATCCTCCAGGAATTCAAACGCATAGAGACGATCCCAGGCCTCAAAGGAGCAGTGCTGAATGCGACACGACGCCAGGCCGACCAGCTCTTCTTTGCAAGGGCAAGTTGGCTGAGCAACAACAAACTCGGGAACTGAAAGAAATGGAAAAAAATTACTAGAAAAAGGGGAACAATTATGGAGAAATATAATGGTACATGAAAACTCATGTAACCATCTGTCTCTATGTGGAAAACTATTCTCCAAATAACTGCTGCAACTTTGTGGGGTCATTGTGTCAATAGTCAAAAAAACCCTTCTGTGCTTTAATCGACTCCAAAGTGAGGATAATGTAGGTAGAGACAATAGCTCTGAAACTGGTTCCTGATGTATCTGTTTTTTTTTTTTTTTTTGCTTTAATGAAGGCTGAGACAGTTTCACTTCTTCATATGCTCTGTATTACCACAGTGTGAATTGGCATAATGCAGGGACACTGGGTGAGCACTAGGTGAACTCACAACTACACAACATCTTTACATGGAGAATCTGCAAACACGCATCCTACCTCTGAACTACCACCAATATAGTCCTGGAATACTAGTCTCTCCATCTACTTATTAAAAAAATACAGATATATTTAAAAGCATTTTCAGTCTACAGTTTCCCATTCAGATGACCTGGATCTGTCAATTTTGTAGAAAAATGTCACTTAGGAGAGAAGGACTGTAACAGAAAAGTGCAAAAAGATTCATCATTATCTCCTTTAGCAGGTTTTAAATACTGACCCAGTTCCTCAACGCTTACACAGTGAAACAAGGATTACCTGCATCAGTAACGTACTCTGAAATGTTAAACATTTGTCAGATCAGGGTTAGGACACAAATGTTCTTCACGTTATCAAACATGCAGGTTTGGAAATAAGCTGACAAATGTGCTCCAGAATCAAGAAGGAAGGAGCCCTGCATACCATCAGAAACCGAGCTGGTGCCAAAATACGAGAAAACATCTTCTGGATCCAAAGCTCTGAGAAATTTCTGCAACAAGAACAACAGATTTACATTTTTTTTTTAAGAAAAACAAATGGATAGAAAGACTATAACTTAGCTTAACCTAACCCAGAAGGAATGTCAGCAAACAATTTCACAAGTATTGATGCCAAGTCCTAATGGTTTTATTTTGCATTGAGCATATGCTGCACAATGACCACCCCGGGGAAATGGTTTTATCTTCTTGATTACTGTGGTCTGTTACATTCTGGCTTAGAAAATTTTGAGTTTTCCCTTCTTCTTTCCTAGAAATAAAATAAAGCCTTCCTGGAAACCGTATTTTCCGGAGGTCAAACTTACCTCTTGGCAAGGGGACGTCCAGCAAAATCCCAGCGGGAGCACGGCGAGCACTCGGATCATCGCGTTGATGATCATGTTGGAGGAACCACAACCAACGCCGCGGAGCAAGTGCTGGCCCAGAGGGGATTAAAACGTTTAGCCCACGGCATCACGTGGAGCGGAAGCGACGAGCTGGGAGTTTACACAAACATCGGTGGAGAGGGAGCGGGAAGGGGGTGCAGAGCTGCCGCGGGACGCGCTACGGGAACAGCTGTGGGGGCAAAGAGAGTTTTTGCGCAATGTTTGCAGCTTTATTACAGCCAAAGAGCTCAGCAACAACAGGCGCATGGGGGCCTGTTTTAGCCGCCAGATAAACAGGGAGAGTAAAAGGGCTCAGAATTGTGCAACCCAAGGGAGAGGCCGGCGCGGAGCGCCAGGGAAGGGGCCAAGGGCTGAGCCACCATCACGGTGGCACCACGGGGAGCGTGCGGAGCTGGGGAGCCGCCATGGGGCAGCGGCCTGGCCCAGGGGCTCAGGAACCATGGCGGGGCCTGAAGCGCTGCCCCCAGAACGCTGCTACGGGGCTGAGGCCACAGCACGGCCCCGAACACCACGGCGGGGCTGCGCCTCGGGCCACGCTCCCGAACACCGCCCGGGGCAGCGGCCCCGACGCCGCCGTGGGGCTGAGGG